CTCAGGAGGAGATGGGAGAGGGCTCTGCACTAAACCAGGGGATTCACTGCACGGGCAGGCTTCTAGAAGCAGCACGAGTTGAGCTGGTAAATTATAAAATGCCACCCTTGAGGTCTGTTATGTAACGTCCCTTTACAGAACCTGGGAGCTAAATATAAAAGAGTTACGTTTTGGGCTGGTGTACAAAGATGCTCCAGATGGGGTTTGTGTGGGAAGGAGCTCTCTGCAGCACCGTGAGAAATGGGAAGGCTTTGGGCACCCAGGGTTTGCTCCCAGCCTCCACTGCTTGTTTTCTCTGCAACCTTGTGAAAAGCATTTACTGCCCGGGTCTTGGTTTCCCTCTCTTTAAATCAGGAGTGATAAAACCTCAATTTCCTTGCAGCTGCGTTGTCAGGATTAATTCATGTTTGCAAAGTGACCTGAGAATCTATAGAAACCCGAGGAGTGTGTCATGATCCAGATCTAAACTTGGCATATAAAATCAGCGGGGCAAATTCCCCTCCCACATTGGAGGAGAAGGGGTTGTGTCAGCACAGCCCAGAGGAAAATTCCAGCCACTCTTCCTACGCAAAAACTGCAGAAGAGAAAAGCCTTTTGGGCTGAGACTGTTTGGTTTTCCTGGAGGAATTTCCCCCCCTTCATTAGCTCCGAGCAGAGGGATCAGCTCCTGCACAGCTGGGCTCATGCTGAAGTGCAGAGGGGGTTAATGGGAGTTGTGGGTGGCTCATCCTTCCCCTCAGGGATGGTTGGTGATGCTGGGCTCCTGCAGGACCTGCTGCCACCCTGACCTACTCCTGCCCATCACAGGTGACAAAGCCAGGAGCATCTCCTGTGGGAAATGCAAGTGGCGGTGGAGCAAAGTAGAAATGCAGGGAGTTGCTGCATGTGATTTAGTGTGTATATGACACAAGCCAGCCTGCTTGGCAATTACATGGGGCTGTTTTGTCCTCCCTCAGTTCCTGCTCTTTTTCTCCCCTGCTCTATTTCCACCACTAAACCCAGTGTGGCCCCCAGTGTCCTGCTCTTCTCAGAGGATGCTCCCTCCTGTCCCCTTCCCCATGAAACACTGGGAACAGCCCAGGCCATCTTCCTTCTCCTTCCCCTCTGCACACATAGTGATGACTGGAGAGGCTGGGCAGTCAGGGAAGAGTGAGGTGGATTTTTGGGTCAGCTTTGATGGCTCAGTTTGGGGGCTCAAGGAAGCCAGGTCCAAATGGCAGGACAACAGAGGAAAGCCTGGCTGGGATGAGCAGGGGATGGTGCTGCTGCAGTGATGGAGGGATATAAATGTTGAACTTGGATCAGCCTGCTATCCTGGGCTCATATCAACTGCTTATTTCCCCCTTGGAGGAGCCTCTCCTGCAGAGGGGAGAGGGGAGACTTGCATCCCCTGGCTTTTGCTATGATATGGGTGATGCAGAGCATCGTGGTCCCTGAGCAGAGGCTGAAATGGGGATGTAGGAGCCTCAAGAAGCCAAGAAGCCTCATCGCCCCGCCTGCAGCCCTCCCCACTGTGCAGTGCCCATCAGAAGCTGTGTTTCATGGCCTGTGCCTGGATGGGACCTGGCCAAAGAGGATGCTCAGCCCCTCCAGGTATGGTGTGTGGCTTCTTAAAACTCCCTGGTCAGCCAGGCCTGCTCCTGCTCCTGTGAAACTCATCCAGATTGCTGGGAAAAATGGCTTCTGACAGGATGGAGATTTGCAGGGGAGTTGCCAAGCAACTGGCACAGCTCTGCTGCCTCCTGCTCCTCTCCTCCCTCTGAGCAGTGAGCAGGCAGGGGAAGGCTGCATCCCTGCATCCCTCTGCCCCGGCCAGCCCAGCACTCCCTGGTCCTGCCCCCACCTGCCCGGGGGTGCCACTGGGAAAGGCTGGTGGGACAGGGTGCTCCTGGCCAGTGGGGTGACTCCTCCTGCACACCCAACCCATGGCAAATCACCATCAGTGGCAGGGGCAGAAACCTGGCCAAAGAGGATGCTCAGCCCCTCCAGGTATGGTGTGTGGCTTCTTAAAACTCCCTGGTCAGCCAGGCCTGCTCCTGCTCCTGTGAAACTCATCCAGATTGCTGGGAAAAATGGCTTCTGACAGGATGGAGATTTGCAGGGGAGTTGCCAAGCAACTGGCACAGCTCTGCTGCCTCCTGCTCCTCTCCTCCCTCTGAGCAGTGAGCAGGCAGGGGAAGGCTGCATCCCTGCATCCCTCTGCCCCGGCCAGCCCAGCCCTCCCTGGTCCTGCCCCCACCTGCCCGGGGGTGCCACTGGGAAAGGCTGGTGGGACAGGGTGCTCCTGGCCAGTGGGGTGACTCCTCCTGCACACCCAACCCATGGCAAATCACCATCAGTGGCAGGGTTAGAAACAGGCTCAATCTTCCAGCCCATTTCTGGGGATGTGCAGCTTCCTCTTGCAGCAGCCCCAGCAACGTGCACTGACAACACCCGGGGACACTCATTATAACCCAACTTTGATTAGTGTCCCCTCTGCACTTCTTTGCGAGTCACTTAAGATTTACACCAAGAGAAATATGGAGCCCAAACCCTTGGGGTTTCCTTTTTTTAAAGCTTTAATTTAAATCAGCCCTTGAGTAACAACTGCGTGTTCCAAAAAATCACCTGATGTCCCTTGTAAAGCCTTGAACCCACAGCGAGGGGCATGAAGCAAAGGCTGGTGGGAGGGGAGGCAACTGATAGCTGTGATCTTGCAAAAGATCAGTTGCTGAGTGAGTGGCAATAAACAGCAAATGCAGCCAGCTCAGAGGAATGGCAAATGGACCTGACTGTTCAGAACAATCTGTTCCTCCTCCGGAGAAGGGCTGCGGTGCCGGCCGTGGGCTGGGAAAGCGGCTCCTCGCAGTGGGAGCTGGTCTGAAATCCTGCTGCAGGAAAATGGCAGGGCCAGGGCAGGGGAATTACTGGGAGACATGTTCCTAAATCAAATAAAAGGGCTTCAAGTGGCTTTGCTGGGCTGACTCTTCTCCAGGAGAGAAGGAGGCATTGGAGGACTAGAAGGAGTATATTTTGAAATAAGCCTTTTCTCCAAGAGACACACACAGGGCAAAACTCAGGGCAGTTGCAAAAGGCTGCAGGTCTATAACTCTCCAGGTGTTTGCAATGCTTTTAGGACCAAAACTGGTCTTGCCCATTGAAGGCTGGCATAACCAGAAAGAAAAACCTGGGTAAAGAATGTGTTCACAAGAGAAGGCCATTCCAAAGCCAAGTCTTGGTAAGGTGACAAGAGAGACCAAGAGATCTCATCCATGAGACCAAGGTATCACTGCAGGTCCACAGGATGGCATTTCAGCAAGGATGGACCCAGTGTGTGTGTGGATCTCCTCTGTAAGGTTTTGCCACCAAACTGAGGAGATCTTTCCCCATCACCTGCTGCAGCAGGTGTCAGCATCTTCCTGCTCCTCCCAGCACTGCTGCTGGAACTTCTGGGAGTTTGATGATGATGATTTAATCCAAGCTTTTAGAGGAGGGAAAAAAGTAAGTTCTGACAGTTCCATATATAGTCCCCTGACTCACAGATTTCATGTGTCAAACACCAAAGATGGGTTAAGTAGAATTAAGTTCTGGATTTGGTATAAATAGGCATTAAGTAACATGAATGTATAAACTTTGCATGAAAATATGGGCCTGATTCTCTAGTTTACCCCAGAGATTTTCTTGTATGTCAATGGGACACTCAAATGAGCCCAGATCAGAGCCATCCCAGCTTGGACTGTCCCCTGCAGCCACCACTGAACCAGACCTGAGAACTGGGAAGTAATTGCTGAAGTTAGGATGGATTTACACTGTTCACACTGATCAGAATTGGGCCCTTAAAACAGTACAAGTAGCTTTAATTAGACACCAAATCTGCAGCTGAAGGAATAATTTCTCCATGTCAATCAGTTCAAAATGTACTTATTAAGTTGAGGAAGATGGGTTAAGATGAAAATGGCAGAGAAAGTCACATTTCCTCTGTCTCATGCTTCTGCCCACTGGGAATCTCAAGGTTTGCCAAGTCCCTGGAAGGAGCCAGCCACACACTCCAGCTTCTGGGGAAGGGATCATCATGGCTCTGTGACCCAGCCCATGGGTGCTTCCCTGGGTGGAGAGGGCAGAAGCAGGCAGGAATCCTCAACTTGTCCCTGTGCTGAACACCTGAACAGGCTCTGTCCCCAGGACCCTTCCCTGGGTCAGCAGTGCCAGCCCTTGCTGCTCTCCTGATGGTTGGCACCTAGAGGGGGTTTGGGTGCTGAGGATGATGGCAGGGATGTGGTGGTTGCTGCTTCTCCATGAGCAGAACAGAGAGAAACCAGGTTGGAAGCCCAGGGAGCAGGCAAGGAAGGGGAGGGAATGGCAGCTTCGTGGCCCTGGTACACTGTTGGGGATGGGGCAAAAGGCTTACAAGCCCCAGGGGATGGGCCAATGCAGACAGCACAAAGAGAAGTGGGAACTGGTGAAATGAGGGTTTTTCTTGCTGTGGACATGCAGCCAGGGAGACCTTGGAGCTCCAGGGCTGGTTTTGGGGCATGAAAATCCCTGTGGTCCATGCAGGTGTGGACTGCCAGCACTGCCATGTCTGTCCCTTTGTTCCATCTCCTGGGTGATGGTCCCCATGGAGGACCCACCCATGATCCACTATGACGACACCTATGTAGCATTCAGACCAGTGCCAGTTGCACAGCACCTGGAGCAGTGCACAGGTGGCACAGGACTGGAATTGGATGCCAGCTCTGTGCTGGGATCCTGCCTCTCCTGAGCTTCTGTTGGCAAATTGGGGCTGTTTCTTGGGAAAACCCAAGTGCGACGACAGTCCCATTGCCTGGAACCACAGCACCCTGTGGCAGGGTGAGCAGTGCTGGTTAAGGGGGGGAGAGGGGAGCCAGGGGGGCTGCAGCGGGGCTGGGGGGGAACAGCTCTGGGGTGAGGGTTGCAGGCTTGGCCCGGGTGCCCTCCCTGGTTGCTCGTCCCCTTTCCAGGGGTGCGCGCAGAGTGACCCGCTGGGTTAGCCCGAAGACATGAGCAAGATGAGCAGCCTAAAGGTAAAAACTGAAGCCAAATCCAAAGCCAAACTCCCCCAGAGGTGCTATGGAGTCTCTGCTGTGGGGATCACCTCCTATCTGAGGTGGCAGCCAAGAGCTGGAGGTGGTGACAAAGAGCTGGAGGTGATGATGCCATTAACCCCTGTGTCCAGCTCCTCTGTCTACCACTGCTGGCAGTGTTTGCTCAAGGGACCAACCTCTCCCTTTCTGTGGCACCAGAGAAAGAAGCAATCGAACCCGCAAGGGAAGGAGGATGAAAATGAGGCTGCACGGGAGATTGGGCTGCTGCAGAAACAACTTCAGATTGCAGCTGCCAAGAGGAGATCGTACCACGCCAACGCGAGGCAGCAAATGCTGTCCCAGGAGTGAGTGCAGCTTCTATTTTTGGGCAAATTCCTCCATGCCAGGATCTGGGAACCTGGGTGCTGACATGGCATGGGGTGAGGACCTGCTCCAGCACTGCAGCTAGGATGGGCTCCATGTCCTTTGTTGTTCTGTTTTTACAGAAGAGAAATAGAGTCCCTGACACAAGAGCGTGAAGAGACGTGGTTCCAGATCAGCCAGCTGCAGAGGAAGGCTATGCTGGAGGAGAGGGCACTTGGGAAGCTGCAGCACCTTTCAGACAGCTGGTATTTTTATGAGTCTTTGGTCAGAGAGAGAAAAGGCCTGCTTGCTGAGCTGGACAAAGAGGTAAAAGTGTCTGGACTGTTCCCTGGCTGAGCATGGCAGAGTCAGGTGGGACTGAAACTCCTCGGTAAAATACATGGAATGTGATGGTGCCTGCAGGCAAAAGACACACGTGCCAGTGCCCATTGGGAGAGCCAGGCTGCCCTTCAGGTCAGCAGCACTGGCTAGAAGAGTAAGGTCTGACTCGCAACCTTGTTGACCTGCTACTCTCTATAGCTCCTCTTCATGGCACATACGTGTCTGGGGTCACAAAACATCCTCCCCCACCCACTTAATTCTTCCCAGGGGTTTATTCCCTCTGCCAGCTCCCTACTTCTGGCAGAATTCTTCCTCCGCTCTTTCCAAGGGGGCACTGCACAGAGCCCTGTCTGGCCAGCATGATACCCCTCCCAAAGCCACCCTGCCACCCTGCCCCAGGGGCTGCTGTGCCTTGTCCAGGGCTGGGGCTGAATTTCCCTGGGAAGGGATTAAAGCTGCTTCTGTAAGTGTGAGCTCATGAATGATATGGTTGCTGTAGCTCAGGTCAGGAGAGGGTATTTTCTTTGGCTAAATGTCCTGACAAGAATCCAGAACGCAGGGGTGGAGGTTATACTTCCTCCTTCTGTTTTTTTCTTTTGTCTCTGTGTATGCAGATACTGGAGCTTGAAGAGAAGATTGTGAAGCAAAACAAGAAAGTAGCCAAGATCAAGCAATCCCACAATGTCAAACAGCTAGAAAAGGAGGCTGAGAGACTAGAGAAGCATCTACAAACAGTAAGCAAACATCTTGCAGATGTTTGGAGACCATGTTTGGGGCCACACTGGGGCCTGTGTGGAAAATGCTTTTTGCTGAGGACAAAGGGAAGTGGCGCAGATGTGTTTGGTTGACACAAGCTGCATAAAGACCCTGGCTTGTTCTCCTGGCCTGATGGCTCCTGGAATATCCCAAAGGCTCTTTCAAGCCTGGTGACCCAAATGTAGCACTTGTGCCATGCCAGTTAACCTGAAGGTCTGCACCTGTTTAGAGCTGCTCAAAGCCACCTTGCTTTGGGCAACACCAGCTCCAGGGCTCTGCTGGGACTGCCCCTGCAGTCCTGGGGAGGAGGACAGTGCAGGGCCAGCTTAAAATCTCTTGGGGTGCATTTCTCCCAGTCCTGCTCAAGGTCTGTCAGCAGAGACCTGAGCCCCCTCTTTACTGCACCAGCTTCAAACCATTTGCTTCCTTCTCCCCAGGCCACTGTTTTTCTCAATACCACCCTGACTGAAAATAAGCAGCTCAAAGGGGAGATTCAAAGCCTGCGAATCCGAAAAGCTGTTTTGGACAACATCTCCTTGGGGCTCCATCAGAAGCTGAACAAGCAGGCCCAACAGATGACCACTAGTCTTGAGCAGTCCACAGGGGCCTACGACCGGCGGTAGGTGGCCCAGCAAGTCCTCTGTGGCAAACTGGGCAGCGAGGAGCAATGCCAGGGATGAGCAGGGATGTAACAAGAGACTGGCTGCAAGGGCAGAGAGGAGATCCGCTGCTCCTCCCTGGAGCTGGGTGCTCAGGGTTGGGTGCTGGGTCAGGCACAGGTGGTGGGAATGGCCAGGAATACAAAGCCCTGCACCGACCCGTGGTGTGACCTGCTGCTCTCTGTCTGCAGGATGGATACCCTGGCAGAGATGTCAGCACTGGAAGAGAAGCACAGCAAAGAGCGTGTCAGGATGCTGGAAAAGCAGCGGGTCTTTGAAAGCATGAACAGTCTGAGGAACTTCATCGTGGCCAAACGCAGAGACCGCTCACATCTGGAGAAAGAGGCCAAAAAGAGAAGAGGTATCAGACAAGTGAAAGCACCTGCAGCTGGGACCACCGAGCAGGATTCTGCTGGGCTGGCAAGGGGGCTGCTTTGGGCACTGAACCCCAAAGGCAGGACATCTCCCCTGCCTGCAGGCTCCTTCACCTCAGCCTTTGCTCCAGAGGAGAAAAGGCTGTGCAATGATAATCCAGTGAGGCCACCCAAAGCCCTGTGTCTTGGGGTGCCCTGCAGAGAGCGAGGAAAGTGGAGGCAGGGAGTTGCCACCATGGTCAGCCAGGGCTCCTTTCATCATCCTGGGGAGGGATCCCACTGTGTTTGCCCCATCCCATGCAGACAGTGGGAGCTTTGCTTCATTTTTGGAGCAAAATAAAGAGACTTCCAGCCTCCCCTGCCCCCCAAGCACCCCACCAAACCCCACAGCACCCAGGGGGGAAGGCTCTGCAAAGGGCAGCCCGTGAGGACATGCACAAGCCAGGCTCTCTGCTTCTTCCTCAGCCATCAAGGCAGCCCAGCGGGAGAGACTAAGCCAGGGGGAGAGCTGGGAGAGCCGGGAGGTGGTTCAGAAGTATCTGCTGGAGCTCTCGAAGAATGGGAACATAGAAGAAGAGCTGAATCACTGCGTGGAAAAGCTGGAGAGGGAGTTTGCCTGCCTGAGCTATTCCACTGAGCTGAACGAGGACGTGGAGAAGTTGCAGCTGAGGGTCGAGGCTCTCGAGGTCTGTTCCAGGTTCTCCATGTCTCCCCTTTCTCAGCTGATGCTTTTGGGCTGGGCTGGGTTGGGTTTTTCCTCTCCTGTGTGTCCAGCTGGGCTGCCCATAGCAGAGCCCAGCTCCGGGCCTGCCACACGGGTGGGATGAGGGAGGGAATGCAAAGGGACAGCAAAGAACAGAACTCCAGGAGACACAGAAGATGCGTTCTCGGAGCCAAAAGTGTCTCAATGCTGCCACCGTGTACCCAGCAGAAATACTGCCGTGTCCAAGAAGGCCCAGAGCTGCCTTGGCTGTGTGTGGGGCTGGCTGGAGGGAGAAGAAGGGCTGCCTGTTGTGGGGCCATCACCTGCCCTCCTGGCCAGGGGATGGTGGTCCCCAGAGGGGTCAAGTGGGATGTCCCTGCTCCCAGGGCAGAGGAGGGATGGTCCCCAGTCTTTGTTGGGCATACCTAGTGGGCATTCAGCCAGAACCCCCTCCACGTGCTTGTGTTTACACAGGAAGAAATTGCAGCCATCACAAAGGAGCAGGACACTGCAAAGAGCAGAAGCCTTCAGGCCCTGCAGGAGCTGGAGGTACGGTGCCCGGGGCTTCCCTCGGCAAGGGCAGCAGAGCCCTGTCCCTCCTGGCATGTGTCCTAGGCCAGTCTGGTCGTTTCAAAGCTGCTCTGGCCAAGGGCTGGAGAGGAGTGGGGCAGAAGAGGGTCCTCCACCACCTTTGGCAGCTGGTGGCTGCAGGGCTCCTGCCAGCCCTGGTCCTGCAGCCCCTGGAGCCTCCTCGGCACATGGGGAGCTTGGGAACCCCTTCCTAGAGCCTTTCCCCTGCAGGGATGGGAGCATCCCACAGCCTCTGCTGGGATGTCTCCAGTGTCCAGACTGGAGCTGACCAGCACTGGGGGTGGCAGGGAGAGCAGGGGGCTGGTGTGACAGCTGGCAAAATCTTTGTCGATAGGCAAGTCTGAAGGAGACGACCGAGGAAGCCAACATGTATGAACAGCAATGCAACTTGAGCAGCAAAGTCCTGGGCCAGCTCAAGTCTCGCTTGGAGGTTCTGGTCCAGGAGACCAGACGTGACTGCCCCATGATCCTGCTGGAGCTTGGAGGAACAGGGGAGGTCACAAACGACAACCTGCTGCAGTGTTTTGGTGGGTCAGGGCTGCCCATCTCTCCCCCTATTACAGCCCCACCCTTGTACATCCACCACCCACTCGCACTGTGTTTTAATGGAGCTGCCATTTTCCCCAGCCCCGTCATGTGGGGGTGTCCCTTGTGTGAATTTGGGGTCCCAAATTCCCGGACAATTCAGACCTGGCCGTGTAAATGTGCCACTGGAGCCCCAAGCCCTCACATTGCCTCTGGGGGTGGGACCATCAGCCTTGGGGACAGGCTGCCTGGGGGGGGATCAGCGGATCCCTGTGGAGCAAAGAGCCCCAGGGGTGGATTTGGGCAGGAGCCCTGAGTGACCCTGACACTCCCCGCTGCCCAGGTCTCCTGGAGAAGATAATCATCGAGCTCCTGCTGCAGGACTCCAGGGTGCTCTATGCATCAACTGTGGACACGGACTCGGAGGAGCCGGTGTCCATCCCGCTGCTGGCCGGCCCGGCGCTGCTGCAGACGGTGGTTCCCGTCCCGCTCTGCCCGCCCGCCCTGGCCTTGGAAAGCCCTGACGACCTCCTGGAGGCCTGTGAGTGTGGGAGGGGAGGAGGTCGGGGCCGTGTCCCCACGGCAGAGAAGGCCCGGGTGCCGTGGGTGACGGGCGGTCGTTGTGTCGTGCAGTGGACGTGCCGCTGGACTACGAGGAGATGCGCCAGCTGGTCCTGAGGAGCCAGCAGGGGCCGGGCAGCACCAAGCTGTGAGAGCCTGCTGGGATCCCAGCGGCCGGAGCCAGCTCGCTCTTGAGGTCTTTCCTCCTCTGCACCCATCTCCCCTCTCCCCACTGGATACCAAAAAATAATTCTGGTGTATTTGTAACACCTTTGCTGTGTCCCTTTTCTAGCCAGGGAAGCTTGTGTGGGGGGAGACTTGTGATTTCTGGGAGAGATGGCTGAGGGGAGTGGATGGACTGTTGGAGCTGGGGTTTACAGCAAGCAAGGAACCTGCCCTTGGGGAAGAGTCTGTCTGCGTCCTCTTATCTCCTTCCTCCTGCCAGATCTCAGGTGTGCTGAGACCCCCAAGTCCTTTTCTTTCCTGTCCTCCCCAGCTCTGCTCTGGCCCCACCACAGCAAGAAGCTGCCCTGAATATTGTGTTCCTGTTGGCAGGAGGAACCGGGCACGCCTGGTGGGAGCAGTTCAGGCGAGGAAGAGAGGGGTGGGGGAGAGAGGTTGAGCAGCCATCCCTGCCAACTAGAGTAGAACTAAATAAAGCAACTAAACAAAATTCAAGTCATTCCATCTCCCTTCTCTGTATGGAGCCTGACACCTTGTGCAGGCTTCAAGCGGTCGCTGGGTGATATTTTGGCACAGCTTCACCCACTGCTGACATCTGCTGAGGAGGGAGCAGTTGTGCATCGTGGTGCCATTGCCATTGCAAACCCCGAGGCACCTCCTGCAGCCCAGGCACCCCGTGGCTGCAAAGATGAGCTGGAGACCATGTTCCCAGCCTTGCACCATGGCTGCTCCATGTTGGGGTCCTGGAGGGATGCGGGGAGGAGGGGGTACCTGTGCTTGCCTGCTGGTCCCTGCTAAGTTGAGGAACGCAGGCAGCTCTTTGCTGGTTCTGGGCTGGTGGGACCAGATGGCTTCTAGCCACAGCCCAGTGCAAAACGGGCTGTTTGTGGTTGGGAGCTGGGCTGGGCTGGGAAATGCTGGGACAGAAGGGCCAGGGAGCATGCAAGGGTGCAGTGGGGCAGGGACGCTGTGGGTGGTGGGGTCTGAGAGGGCTCTGGGGGCTCCTGCTGGGCAGGGCACACGGTGCAGACACACCACGCCAGCCCAAGCACCAAGCACCACTCCCCAGCACCTGGATTTCCTCTGGCCAAAAGGCAGTTTAATGCAGATGCTGTTCACATGTTCCCCAGGGAGAGAGGGAAAGGGGCCCACCCAGTGCCCCCCACACAGAGGGGATCTGGTGGTGCCAGCCCCAGCACCCAGCCTGGGCTAGTCCTTCTCCTCGCCGTGCGTAATGACGTGGACCAGGTTCTTGTAGTCCAGGTTGCCAGACATGTCTGGAGGGAAGGCTGTGAACATCTGATCGATCTGCTGGGAAAGAGCTGGGGTGAAAAGGTGGCACAGGAGGGGTTTGGGGCTGGGGGGAGGGGAGGGCTGGGGGTCTGTGGGGATGGAGGGCATGGGAGGCTGGTGGGGAGCGGGAAGGAGCTCCTACCTCTTCCTGGGGA